GGGAAAGAGAAGTCACACTATTGGATGGACACTCTAAAACTCTAACAAAGGCTGGAAAAGAGAAGCGTCTGGTTCATTGGATCGAAAATTCTTAAGCAGTTCGAGATAAGAGCTCCACCTTGGTCTATGAATAGATCAAAGAGCTTTTCAAACTTATTAAAGAAAGCAGCTAAAATTTCTTCTCTTCTAAGCGGGCTTGAAATGGCAGACATGTCTTTCAATACTGCGTTTAAACATGTAGTTGGTTGTTCATTGTCCACATTCAAACCCACACCTGCAGGAATAAGAATATTAAGTCTATTATTTCTGTCAAACCAATTACATAACCTACAGGTTTGGCTTTTAAAGAATGTTGTCAACTAACGAAGGGCAATTTTTATTACCGGCACTAACATGGAACTTCTTTGATCGGTATGTGGAGGTACACAAAATGCCTCCGACCTTAAGGCCATTCAAGTAGAGATCATTTGGCCACTTTATTTTAACATCGATGTATGGTAAGCCCTGAAATTGATATTTCCAAAATAGATAAAATCAGCGATAAAGCATCATAATGTTGCAGGAACAGATAATTTTGGGCATAAAGATCAAGCAGACAAGGTAAAGTAAGCCAAGACAAGGACATACATTTCTGTCACACACGTCTTTCACCGCTTCCGTTACAGCAAGAGATACCACATACTGTATCAGAGGCACAACCCGACCGTCTTCCATTTGTAATGTAAAAGAATACATAAGGCAACCTCTTGGAGATTCCCAGACATTCTTTGTTCTGCCTGTGTATTCATCAGTTTACACTTCAAAATTCAAAGACATTGATAGATTAAACAACAACTGTTTCTAATTTCTTCTGGTGACAATCTCAATCAACACGGTGAAGCTCATACCTCGACCTTTAAACTGGACATCTGCAACACAAGCTGAACCAATTGGAAGCTCACAGAAGTTGCTGCATGGAACTAAAAACAGACTTCAGCAAACAAGATAACCTTAAGAGATTATCAGCAATCAACAGATGGATGCCAGTTTGCTTACTGAGAAACAACATCATGAGTGGAAGACAATCTTGGAGACCAAACAAGAAACCATCCAAACCGAGCTGTTGAGAGTGAGTTCATGAACAACAGAACATTGAAGGATTCATCTCTCAATTGATTCTCCATCTCAGATTGCAAGAAAACTGAAGTTTCGATGTTATCCGGCAAATTGAGTGCATTACTGCTCTTCAAACGCGCTGCTGTTTCAGCTTCAGCAGTTGATTTCCCGCACAAAATCAAGCTACACGAAGCATCACAATCCATTGCTGCAACAGAAAAAATATCGGAAGAATTAAATCTGCTAATTCTATCCCGCACAAAAACCATCAGCAAGTATTATCGTACAACACAATTACATTCCTCAGCATTTTCCATAACAGATTTTTCACGGAACCACAAAAACATAGCTCATAATTCCTTCTACAAAACGAACAACCCAAGAAAATCGATTTGCTACTAGTGATCGAGAAGAGCACGAAACACTTCATCCGAAACCAGATCAGCCACCAACGAAGCTACAACTCGCTACTTTCTCAGAAAATCACCCGAAACGATTCACCATATTCTTCCGCGCAAAACTTTCCTAGATTGATGCATTCAACCTAATCGCTTCGAGCTCAGAAGAGTAACCAAAACCATATACTGAACCGGAAAATGTAATCAGACATCGCAGCATACGGATCGAACCTGCGGCGGCGAGGGAGAAAGAGAGATGCGAAGGCTTCTGATACGATGGAGAACGACGGCAGAGAGAGATCGCCGGCGAAGCAAACCGCGAGAGGTTCGACAATGGCATATAGCTCTTCCGTTTGGCAGTATCCCTGACGGAGAAAACAATTCGAAAGGAAAAACATAAAATTCGAAAATTAAAAAATAATATAGTAATTGCCGGTAGGTAACCAGATATTCAATTGAACCGTAGAGATTTGAAATGTATTCTGGTTTGGTTATCAAATGATTCGGTTCAATCCGGTTTGGGCTTGTGCTCTAATAACAGCGTATCGTGAATTCTGGCGACATGAAAGAAATTGGGCCGGGGGAAATATTGGGCTGACCCTGAAAGCCCAAATAAAGGCCCAGAGACAAAATGAATGCTAAAACAAGGGCTTACGTCACAGGGACCTGAAAACGTTAACTGCAAAGAGGTATTAAAAAAAAAAAAAAAAAAAAAAAAACCCAAAGGAAAAAAAAAGGGGGAAAAAAAAAAAAGGAAAAAAAACTTTTATGGGCTTCAACGTGACAGTTTCAGGCTTTCAGCCTTTTGTTAAAGTCCTTGGATTTTCCCAATTTTCATGTGAGTAATTCACATGATCATATTTTTTTTTCTTTTATCACCTCCCATACATACACACACATATATATATATGGGAAATACAGTTTTAATTTCATGGCATATGGTTTCGCAATTAAATGTAACCGCTATTCATTGAACTAAAAAAATATTTTATTAGAGCTATAATATCTATGTATGTATGTATGTATATATGTAATGGAGGTATGCTTATAAAGTGAACCCACACATGTTAAATATAAGAAGAATATGATTAGAGATATCACCCAATTTAACTAAAGAAATTTCTTTTTATTTGTACCGCCAAACTCTTATGTAATATATTTTATAAATATGTGTCTTCCCTTTTAACATAGATATTTTCAACATTTAGTTAGAAAGAAAAAAAAATTGTAGCTGCAATGAAACTCGAGTTTTCTGTAATCGCAGAAATGAAATCAGTTAATATTTTATAAACTTTCTCGAGAAAATATCACATTTCAACAAGAACAAAAGGATGAAATGGAGATATATGTCTTTCGTCGAGAATAAATAATATATTTTATTTATGTTCTGACAAAAAAAATATTAGCCGTGTTGAATTAAATACTTCCCAATTAACGGATAATAAGCTGGATTTAGTACATATATCATATTTTAATTTCATGGCATATGGTTTCGCAATTACTTTTACAAGGCAAAAGGAATCAAATCAGCTTTTTTTTTTCTCCTTGGGTATTTTTTTTTCGTATTTCTTCTCTAAAAGTCTAAAATTACACGTAGTTATAATTTTTTTTACACGTTATCTCTACGTTTGCTTGTCTCCCGTTTATTACCATTACTCTCGGCGGAAGTTTGTCCCGATTTCTATATTTAGATAAACATAAGTGATTTTATAATTTAAATTTGGAAAGTGAAATTGAATATGAGATAGAATCTGAATTGTTATTTAGTTTCTGGAATTGTTCTATAGTTTTTTTTTTTTACTGGAGAATTTTTTTCAATTTATTTTCAGGAATTTTTTAGACTTAGAAACAAAATAAATATATTTCCACCATGGTTGAAAAAAATTCCAATACATTGTGTGGATTAGTCTACATTCATAGAACTAAATATTTTAGTAGAATCATATAAAATTATCACATTTGTTAAGTAATCACAGAAAAATCGACAAAGCTGACATGAATTTAATTCATATTTACGACATTACTTCAAGAATTATTAATTTCAAGAGTAATATTTCCGAGACAAAAAAAGCGCAGAGAAAGGACATCTCAGTGGAGAGAAAGAGTAAGGACTAAGGGATGGGGCGAGGCCTTTGAAAGTCGTAATATAGTTAAACCTCCTCAAACGGCTCAATAATCTTTTATTTTGTAATTATACTACAATTATTAATTACTATAGTATATAGTCTATAATTAAAAAAAAACAAGCAATTAAGTTCATACACCACTAATATGTATGTGTATAAATATAGTGTGTATCAGCATAACATCACCCACTGTCTGCCGATCTCTCATGTCTTCAACCAGACAAATCTTTGCAACAGGCTGAAACCTAAACAGAGAGAGAGAGAGAGAGAGAGAGAGAGAGAGAGAGAGAGAGAGAGAGAGAGAGAGGGAGATGGCGAAAGCAAAAGATGAAAGAAAAACCTCGAAGGCAATAATTCAGAAAGCAACATCATGGTCAACTATGAGAAGCCTCTTCAGTTTCAAACACCATCATAACCTTAACCCTAAGCCACAACCAAAACAGCTTCTTGTTCAGACACAGACACAGAAGCAGAAGCAGAAGCTGCAAGGACAAATGCCCGAGGAAACAGTGAAGAAGAAGTGCAAGAAAATGAAATGCTCAGGCTCTCTCTGTAGCAACACCAAAGTGATGCACAGACCCGAAACGTCTAATTCACCAGAGACCCTGAAGAAGAACAGACCAAATTCCACGGACAACCACCACCACCACAACAACAATGCCTCTTCTTCTTCTTCTTCTTCTTTTTCTTCTCATTCTTCATCCAACAGATCCATGAAAGCTCCTCTGAGAGAGCTTAACGTCAATGGAGGGTCATCTCTCGCCCTTGATCCGTCTTCCTTGAAGGAATCCTCTGGAGGAAGCGGCGCGTCCTTCAGGGGAAAGCCGCTCAGGAGATTCTACGGTTGCTACGAGTGTAGAATGGTGGTTGATCCTGTTCTTGGCATCATTCGAGATCCTGTTCCGAGAAACACCGTATGCTCTTGCCCTGACTGTGGTGAGATCTTCACCAACTCCGAGAATCTTGAGCTTCATCAAGCTGTCCGTCATGCAGGTACTACTCAGAATCTGTTTTGCCATTTTTTATTCATATATAATGTTCTTCCTCTGCAGGCATCTGATTGGTTCTGTATGAACTCTTACTAAAGTATACATGAGTAGTGTGTCAGTGTGTTTTGTGTTGAACCGAGTATGTGTTCAGATCTCTGCTCGTTCTGGTCCGAGCACAGACCAACTATCTCTGCTCGTTCTGGTCTAAACCTATTATACGTTGTACGCAGTTTCGGAGCTAGGACCAGAGGACACGAGCAAGAACATAGTGGAGATCATATTCCAATCAAGCTGGTTAAAGAAGCAGGCACCCATCTGCAAGATCGACCGGATCCTCAAAGTCCGGAACACTCAGAGCACAATCTCCAAGTTCGAAGAGTACAGAGACGCCATTAAAGCCAAGGCCACGAAGCTCCCACGGAAGAACCCTCGCTGCGTCGCCGACGGCAACGAGCTCCTCCGCTTCCACTGCACCACTGTCTCTTGCCACCTCGGCCTCCGCAGCGCCACCAACCTCTGCAACGACTCCTCCCCGAGCTGCCGCGTCTGCGCCATCATCAAGACCGGCTTCGGCGACAAGGGCCAGGGCAAAAACGGAATTTTGACGACGGCGACTAGCGGGAGGGCGCACGATAGCTGGGATGCGCAGGATAGCCGAGTCGGCTCGGTGGAGGGGGAGAGGGCGATGCTGGTTTGTAGGGTCATCGCCGGAAGGGTGAAGAAATGCGGCGGCGGAGAAGGGTATAACCGTAATTTCGGCGGCGATGGTGTAGGGGAAGAGTACGACTCGGTGGCCGGTGACGTTGGAGCTTACTCTAATTTGGACGAGCTGTATGTGTTTGATCCAAAAGCCATATTGCCATGTTTCGTTGTCATCTATAGTCTATAGAGTCTTTGTTTATCAGAATTTCCAAAATCTAACACGTTTTTGTATAATATATCAGTTATTAGATTTTGTTATATAAATTTTAAAAGCTGCGTTACGAGTTTTTCATTTATTAGAATCCGACGTTTGATATAATATCATCTTAATGTTATATTTAAAAAAAAACTCAAAATTACGTGAAATATGGAAGCATCAAGATCTACACATGCAAACAACGTACGCGTGTGTGCGTATAAGGACAAAAAATCAGAATCTCGAGTTGACTCAGAGATGCCCTTTTGTGAAAGCACATGTTAATTAAGATATGGTTGAGTTGATAGAAAATATTTGAATTTATGGGCCGACAGAACATAGAAGCATTAATTGCACATTGGGGATATGAGATATATGTCATGGTAATATGGCGCATCATCAGCCATGAGGTTGGTGAGATTCATGGAAACGATAAAAGCTGTCTCATAGCTTACTAACCTTTTGCTTTTCCTCTTGTATAAAACGATTCCACATAATGATAATGAATAATTTTCTGTATATTTTACGTTTATATAGGACAAGCAAATGTTATATAATGTAATTGATCTGCAAATATATATGATATACTTAAATTTGTAGATGAATAATTTTATATCGTGCATGATATGAGGTATGTGAATTAGTATTGCAGTTTGTTATAGATTCCATGATATATTTGGGATTTAAAATATGTTTTGTTCTTCTTATTTGTACGTTGAGAGTTAACTACTAAACCAAAATAAAAGAATACTATGCATGTTAATATGTGTCTAGTAACTATTATAATTGTTTATAAAATGTATATTCTTGTAAGAATAATATTGCACAGTACTTGTAAATAAAAACATTTTCATTATTTTTTTTTGTCAATAACATTTTGATAATTTACTCAAATAGTGGCAGTAAGTCATAATATCAGGAGACTATGAGTAACAATTATTGACTAAATATTATGTATCAATCATGGAATAATAAAAGAACGAACTCATTGTTATCTATACAACAAGAATATAATAGGATTTGGAAAAATTATATATTTTTCAAATATATGTACGTGCGAATATATGTAAAACAATTTTTCCATATATATATATATATGATATAGTATAATATTATGAAATTTGTATATAACAATAAAGTTTGACTCTAGTTTTGTACTCATTGTCTCATGATTATTCTTTGATTTCGAAAGGACCTTGGAATTTCGCTAGCCCAAAAAGCTAAAGTAAGGTTATGGGCATATTTAGAAGTATCCATAACTTTAATTACTAATTTATATTAATTCATCTGAAATTTTGAAAAACAAACAGCCATTGTATCGGGACAGCCACCTCAACTCAAACCCCATATTTTCACTATTTTTGGATTGTAGTCCTTGTCCTTCTTTCGAGTTTCACAGATTTTCAAGTGTCATTATCAAAATAATAATAATAATAATAATAATAATAATAATAATAATGATGATGATGATGATTATTGTTATTATTATTATTATTATTGATTTTACGATTTGAATTGTCTGGCAAAATCCACCATGCAACAGAGTCTTATAGATTTGAATATTTTAATCTCAAACTAACAAAAATAAATACGAGAAAGAAAATGGTTAGGAGAAAAACTATTTTAGAAATAAAGTTATTTGGGATTTAAAATCCTGATAATTCCACTATTTCGAATCTTATCATTTACGAAAATTTAGAAACAAAACAATGCATGCCGGAAATTTTTTTGATATTAGATCATAACATTTTCTCCAATTTTATAATTTTCCCTTCAATGAATTTACCCCTATATATATATATATACAGGGAAAAAGTAGATCAAATATTTGATAATACGTATCAATACGTGACTGAATTCGAACAATTTTAAATCGGATATGGATATGATTACGTGTTTTTTTATTCTATTTTACATTCTCGAACCACAATAACCATCTAAAAATACAAGAAAAGGAAGAAAACTCCTGTAAAATTCTGCACACATAATAGTAAAAAAAAAAACACGTAAAGGGACTTGTCTGAAAAGGAAAAAAGAAAAAAGAACATGAGGAGAAAGGAGAAAGCAACAGAACACAAGGAAGAGAGTGATGATCAGACAATTCACCAACCAACGAGCAATGAGTGCAAGAGGACCACCGGTCCATACACCCACGTTCTCGTGCTCTGTCTGGTCAAGTTCCCATGGCTCAGTGGCTCATGGGCATGTTCTCGACCTGCGTGGTCATCATCATCATTATGGTTCAGTCACTATAAGATCATATGCTCTCATCAAATTATGCAACTCTTCTGTTGTTTCAGGACAACCCATCAAAGTATTCCATCAGTTCTCTGCTGGGTGTTTCTCATGCTTTGTTATAAACAAAGCTGTTTCTGTAACTAAGAAGGAAGGCTACACCACCAGTTAGACAGTTTCAGCCATCATATATAAACAAGGAAACTGCAAAAAGTTTGGGTTTTCGTTTAGCTTTGGTTAGATGTAGAGATTATTCTGTATCGGATTCATAACATTTCTGGTATTTGGTCGGTTCCGATATCTTAAACATTGCTAAAGCATTTTCATATAAGAAGGCATACCTTTCCCGACCTTGCCAGATCGCATCTCTCTTCAATTCGGGTGTTCCTGAGGTTCTTGCACATGCAATTTCCTGCCAGAAGTTTTCAACCAAATTATCTTTCAATGTAACAATAAGCAAATGACTTAAAAAGATGAAAGTTGGTTAAGGAATATGAATGAAGTATAAAACATTACAATGCAGGATTCAATTCGAACAGCAATAACATATCAGTGATAATTCCAGTCTTATCTGCAGGTGCAAAGAAAGGGAATGAACATCGGCAAATAGAACCAATTCGAATGGAAGGAGCGATTTTATCTGTTACCTTATTTGCTTATTCATAAGATTCGGACGGAAGGAGCAATTTTATCTGAGAGTTTTGCTCTTAGGCTGTCGCAATCCAGCTCATTCCAGCATGTTTTGCCCCCAACCTCTTAGCACCTTCCCTCACTTTACTTAATTCATCCCAAAATCCCAATGTTGCATAAACATTCGAAAGCATTACATAAACTGAAGGATCTTCCGGTGAAGTCTTGAGTAAATTTTCGGCAATAACATTAACCAGTCTGGCATTCTTGTAAGTTCCACAGGCAGCGAGCAGAGAGCTCCATATTGTTTTGTCAGGCTCAAAGGGCATGTCTTTAATCAGATCTTCTGCCTCTTCGAACCGTCCAGCTTGACCAAGGAGATCAACCATGCAATAGTAATGCTCTACATGAGGTTCTAGACCATACTCCGATTTCATGGATTCAAAGATTGGTACTGCTTCTTCCACTAATCCAGAATGTCTGCAGGCAGAAAGAACGCCGAGAAAAGTTACCTCATTTGGAATGACCGCAGAATTTATCATCTCATAGAAATACTGAATTGCTTCTTTGGCTCTTCCATTCTGTCCGCAGCCAATTATTATCCCGGTCCAACAAACAACATCTCTTTCCGATAAACCATCAAACAACGATATGCCGTTATCAATGTCACCACATTTGACATACATATCAATTAGAGCTGTAGCTGTGACGTGTTCAGATTCATAGCCTAGCTTAACACAGAGTCCATGGACCTGTTTGCCGTTTCCAAGAGACGATAAACTTGAACAAGCTTTGAGAATACTTGAGATGATGAACTGATCTACATCAACACCCAGTTTGATTATATCCCTGAACAGCGAAAATGCTAATGAATTGAATCCTGTTTTCACACAGCCCATGATCAGCCCAGACCAGGCAATAATATCTTTCTTCGGAAGCTTATAAAAAAGTTTCTGTGCATCGTATATATTTCCTAATGTTGCGTAAAGATCAACAAGAATGCCTCCTACAATATAATCCAACTCATAACCACTGGTTACAACTAGGCCGTGTACCTGAAGCCCGATTCTCAGGTTGAGTAAGTTGATGCATATCTTCAAGGCATTGCTCAAGGTGTAGGAATCAATGCTCAAACCCGACCGATATATCTGCAAAAGCAGCTTCAATGCTGCATTATTTTCTTCCTTGATCACTAATCCAGAAAGCATAGAATTCCAAACACCAAGGCTATTACTGGAAGAGGCATTGTCCTTTATGTACTGGTAGAAAAGATGACTTGCATCACTTAGAGCACCACAGTTTGAATACATATCGATAAGAGCTGACATTGTGAAACAGCTTGACTCAAGGCCAGACTTTAGGGCACAGCAATGAAGCTGTTTTCCCATGGCTAACGAACCGAGATAGCTGCAAGCTTTAAGGCCGCACGGTAATGCAAACCCATCAAGCTCGTATCCTTCTCTATGCATCTTCAGAAGGAATTCCAATGCACGGGGGCTACTCTTATCCACGAATCCCGATATTAAACTGTTCCAGGACACGACATTTGGCCGTGGAATTAAAAGAAACAAGTTAACTGCCTCGTCCATCAAACCTTCCTTGCAATAACCCGAAATGATTGTGTTCCATGAAGTTGAATTAGGATGTGGGATCTTGGAAAATATGTTCTTAGCGTCACTTAATCTACCATTCTTAACATACATATCCAAAAGGGCATTCATCAAAACAACATCACCTTCCAGATTCTCCTGGAGAATTCTTTCGTGAATCGAACGCCCCAGTTCAAGATCACCCAACAGTCCACATGCCTTCAGAACCGCGGAATACATGAACTCGTTGGGCGATTCAGACTCAGATTTCAACATCTGAGTGTACAATCCAATCGCTTTGTCGGGTTTTCCGTTACACGAATACCCAGAAACCATAGTTGTCCAAGTAACAATGTTCCTTACAGACATTTCATCGAACAGTTTCTGCGCATCATCCATGGACGCAGAGACTACGTGCATGGAAATCAAGTTATTGGCTACGAACACATCTCGGGACAAACCTTGTTTGATCAAATGTGCATGAATCGATTCGCCGCGCTTAAAAGCTCGAATCTTCCCACAATGACGTAAGGCTGCTACAATATGCTTAAAATCCATAGCCAATGGCGATGCTTCAGTGTCTCAATTTCACGTGATCTTATCCAAATTCCATTACTCGAGCCCGGTAACTCCCAGGAAGTGATGACTCTTGTGTAGGGTTCGAAAATGTCTCAGTGTCTCATGCCTTGGTACTGAGGAAGACAATGCGAGAAACATGGCTGCTACGGCTCTGTCGTGGGAACGTGAGGTTGTTCATTTCTCAAAGACGAAAACGGCACGCTGTCTAATGAGTAAAAAAGGAAATGGCAAATAGTGTCCAATGGAATGCGTTGTTGTAAAATACAAACGGACCGTCAAACTAGAAAATGAACAAGGAATAATGGAATTCGTGCGGTAGAAAACTAGAAAGTAAAATTTCTGTACACTTGAACATCATCAAAACAAGAACAAAAATTACAGAAAACCGTGCCGTTTTTTTTTTTTTTGCTGATTCTCGTGACCTCTAACATGACCAGAAACCAAACAGCTCAACTTCATGTTCATGCATCTAAAACTCATTGCCTCTCACCAAAACCTCCTTGTCTCTTGCTTGCATGATTCAATACGCTTGCTTTCTGATAAACATCAATCCAAACTTGCAATGCCTAGAAAACAGGAACCTGGGGTTTTGTCGGAAGCATTGGTTTAAGGGTCAGAAGAACTCGGTAAAGATATGTGTCTTGGCTCTTGATCAAGCAGTTACAGTTTTGAGGAGCTGATGAGGAGATTGGGAGTGGGATGAGGAGCTTCAACGTTCTGGATGACCCCTGAAGTCGAAGAGTTGGGTGATAATTGAAAGATACACTCGCATTCTGGTAAAGGGAATGTGTATATAGAGGTTTTCCGGTTGATCTTCTTGATTCTCGGTACCATCACGCCTTTTCTGTCACTTTCCCCGAGCATCAGTTGCATCTCCTTCTTGAAATCTTCCCATCTGTTCATCATATACGAGGAGAGAGAAAAAACATGAACTTTGGCTTGAAAAATACCCGGGCAATGGGAAAAAAGACGAGCAGACAAGACTTGGAAAGTTTTAACGGTTCTGAGCTAAAACAAGTAAATGGGTTAAGCTCAAAACTATAAGAAGCTTCAGTATTTGTGCATTGCACATTAAAAAGGTTCAAGCTTTTGCAGTTGTGTGATTCACCCTGCAAGCTCTTTCCTGATAGAGGATAAAGCTTGGCTCTTTCTCTGCGTAAATGGTCATAACAGTTTATAAGTATACCTCATGTCCACGTCGTGAAGAAGTTGAACGAGTTTGGGTTTGTCCGGAATGATCGTCTTTGCATGTCCACCGAAGAGAAATCTTCTGTGACCCATCAGAAAATGAGGAAAGTTTCCTCCTTGTGTTGTCACAAACACTTCACTGAACAAGCTCACCATGTAGTCCAGAGCCGCCATTCTTGAAGAGTAACCCTAATGACAGCAACAGAAAAAAAAACCCCGATTAGTCCCTTTTCTTGGAGCTGCAATAATGTTTAACCGACTTATTCAAGATTCCACCTCAAAAGGGGCAAGCTCCTCGGGAGTTGCAAGGGACTCTTTCGTGTAGAGACGGGGAAACATTTCTCTGAGAGGGGCCAAATGTTTCTCAGATCGGTAGATTTTTCCCGAGGCTAAGTATATCGAAGTGTTGTTATCGAATCCCATACCGCGGAGCATCATACCGACCTGTAGCGACATGAAAACGACAATGGAAAGACTAAGCTCAATACCATACGAAACCAGAAAACACCCTCAAGGAAACGTCCCCAGCTTTATAATAGTTGAGGCAAACCCGAGAAAGGGCCAAAAAGTTACCTCCAAGGGGGTAAGGGGGCATTTCCCTTCAACCCGGTTAAGGTCAGGCCTAATGACACGATCTCTTCGTTTGAACTTCCCTTTCCAAGTCTTCTGTCTGATCAGGTTCATTTCCGATTTCTCAGCTTCCCCGCCATCGTAGACACAACAAGAAAAAGCTACCATGTCCTAAAAGGAGCAAGTCAAGATATGTTGCAGGAGTTAGGTCTCTTCCCAAGCATGAGTAACTACAAGTAAAATGTTCTGAAACGGAAACACTACCTCCTCGAAACGTAAGTGAATCGAGACATACTTTCCCCCGGTGTCTGAATTTTTCTCAACCATACGGTCAACTAACTTTTCAGCAAGTGTCGATATAGGTAGAGAGAACTTCAATGCTTTATAATTGGCTATGCACCTCAAGAGCTGTATATACGGGGGAACGCTCATCGCCAATCTATTAGCAAACGGGGATATCCATACGACCCTACATTTTCAGACACGGAAGAGTACTTATTTTAACATACCGATAATTTGGGGAAAG